GCAGAGACTCACCTAACAGCATACAGGGCAGAGACTCACCTAACAGCATACAGTGCTTCATGATAGTCTCCTGCTCTCATTAGCTATTTACCGAATGGCGGTGGAAAGATGCAATTCCAAAAATCACGATCATAAATTATGAGATCCCTGGGTAGTGCGTCCTACGCTGAGAGCCCCCCGTGCTTTAAGTAAGGAAGAATTCGGTCAACATGTCCTGAGAGGCGAAAGTGCCCTTGGACACAATTCATCTCGATGCTGACGCTCTGAGAGCGCCACTCAAAGACTGTTTTGATGTGCCGTTGAGTTAACGATCCCTCGTCACGATTCGTGCTGTCCAATGGCAGCTGGGCAAGATATTTGAAAGCCCTTGTGGTTAGGGAAAAGTGCACTTTATGCAACTCAAAATTGTCATGTTCACTTTTCCATGCAAATAAAATGAAAATGAATATTTTATCCAAGTATTTATATTATTTTATCACGAGAACTGCACTATATTTTTTTATGTTGAAATTGTTGAATTGTATATACAAGAATTTGTATGTGGGGGGCGGGGGTGGGCAGGAAACTTAAATTTTGAAAAATCAAGGGCAGAAATCAGCTACAGTTATAAGGAGCTCAGTTCATTTACACTTTGAATTGAACAAAACAACACAGGCACCAATGGCACCTTCAATGCTGTTCAAATATTTAAAGCTGCGGACACTGGTCATATATGAGATGATCTGATACAGAGCCTGCGCTCCTCAACACAGCTGCTACTGAGAGCTCCCAGTGTGTTTGGACACAGAAAACATTCTTATGGAGTGCGCCTCTTTAAAGCTATTGCTCCTAAATTTACTTCATCACTAAAAAGAATAACTGTAAAAAAAAAATTACTCTGAAACTACATCCTACCCAGGAATCACTTCTCCCACTTGGCCCGCCCATCAGTATATATAATTAATTAGTTACTTGAACCTTTTGGTACTAACGTTGGTTTTGTGTTCATTAATTTTTTTCCTCCGTACCTTTCTTTTAGAAATCGAAAATGGTAAATAGTCATTTAAGAACTATTTAAAGATTATTTTTTTTCTTCTTTAAATAGATTTTAGGACATCAGACAGCTGTGAGCATGCCAAAAATAGCATGGACACAAGCGCTATAAAAGTATTCAATCATCATCATCACCATCTCGAACATACGAACGGTCCTCAACCAACTGTCATAGAAAGAGATCTTTATGTGTGTGTCAGCTGCCCATCATATCCTAGATGTACAATATTTCAATTTGGGAATACTCTTAAAAAAAAAAAAAGAAGAAATAGTTCCACACCATATGGAGTAAAATGAAAACTTCATGTTACTGAAAGTAACCTCCGGTAATGGACCGTCCTTATACGCACACACAGTTCTAATTGGAACCCTTCCTTCCAAAGCCCGCCCCCATTGCACCCACACATTTTTACTCCCCTCCCCCTTTTTTTTGGAGTATGTACAAATGAGCTTACAACCCCGCCCCACACCCCCACCCCCGGAAAATTAGAGGGAAAATACCCCACTGTTTTCTTATCGTAGTAAAGTGCATCATGAGAGGCGCGATGTCGGTAATGACATCATGATGGTAATGATGAAGGATTTGTGAAATGTTTTTTTTTTTTTAATGGATGATATCTCGTGATTGTGTTGGGCGGCAGTAACGCATTTCTGGTCACGTGAGCTGTCTGGATCCGGAGTTACGCGGTAGTTTTTTTTTTCTTATGCATAATAACCGGCATTTCCGGGTGTGTTATATTCGGCCTTTTCCGGGTGTGTTATATTCGGGTTTCCGGGTGTGTTATACTCGGTTTTCCGGGTATCAGGGTCTGCAACCAGCGCCGCCCCTTGTCCAGTGTACTTTGTGACGTCCTGTTTCGTTGTTCTGGAGCTGTTGTTTTTTTTAGCAGGATGATGTTATTTCAATATACTTTGCCATTATTGTTACAATCCATCAAAAAAATTTGCTAACGCGTGCATGGGACACGGTATGGATGAATGGCGGATGAGAGAGTATAGGAGGATGAGGTGGGAGAGGCAAAGTTTAGGGTAGTAAGGTTTATCGGGGAGAGGGGAGGCGCCGGTAAGGGAGGAATTGTGTGAAAACTTTTGACCGAGGTCAGGAGTGTACGTCAACGGCTGGCCATTGTGTAGAAAACTGTGACGCTTGTTGTCTTTCGGAAGACAAAAACACAAACAGCTGGCAAGACGAGTGAGTATCGCGTGGAGGAAGGGAAGCTTACAGCTGAGATACATGGAACTAACTAACATTGACACGTAGCGATGAGAGTGATCACGATGCCAGCTTATATACGTTACGTTGTACGCCTGGGAAGATGTTAAGAAAAGAATAGCAACTTGTGCCTGTCACAGAGTACAGTTAATGGAACCAATGAAATATCGCTAAGCGCGATACGTTTTTTGATCCGCCTATTTTAGGCTAAGATTGTTACAGGCTTACAGTATTCGATTATAAATATCGTATTGTTTTGAAAAAAAATCACCAAAACGCTCCTCATTATAAAACCGAGGACTCACTTCCTCTTTCTCATTGAACTCGGGACTCACTCCCTCTTTCTCATTGAACTCGGGACTCACTCCCTCTTTCTCATTGAACTCGGGTCTCACTCCCTCTTTCTCATTGAACTCGGGACTCACTCCCTCTTTCTCATTGAACTCATTACTCACTCCCTCTTTCTCATTGAACCCAGGACTCACTCCCTCTTTCTCATTGAACTCAGGACTCACTCCCTCTTTCTCATTGAACTCGGGACTCACTCCCTCTTTCTCATTGAACTCGGGACTCACTCCCTCTTTCTCATTGAACTCGGGACTCACTTCCTCTTTCTCATTGAACTCGGGACTCACTTCCTCTTTCTCATTGAACTCGGGACTCACTCCCTCTTTCTCATTGAACTCGGGACTCACTCCCTCTTTCTCATTGAACTCGGGACTCACTCCCTCTTTCTCATTGAACTCGGGACTCACTCCCTCTTTCTCATTGAACTCGGGACTCACTCCCTCTTTCTTATTGAACTCGGTATTTTATAAAATCAATTATGTTAACTTCGCTTTTGTTCGTGGGTAGTTATCTGGTATAATCTTCGGAAGGCTAACCGAACCACTTCCCGTCAAACTATCGACCTGAAACTTGGCACATGGACTCGTTGTTGATGACAACACCTTCTTTCAAATGCTCAGTCCCACCCCACCCCAACCCTCAATAATCAGTTTGTCGTGTGGTTCTAGTGGAAAATGAACGAAATAGAATGACAGTGATTTCACGAAAGAAAATTCCCGGTAACTGGTAAATGAGATTCTTTAAAAAAAAAAAAAATTGCATGTGTGTTTGATGCGTAATATTTTAATTTCTTTCTGAAATAGTTGGGAAATAAATATGCGGTGTAAAACGAGGGTGGGTCATAAACATATTAATATGAAGTAACATAAAAAAATGCATATAAATTATTTATACGAAAATCTTTGTTTTTAAGAGTTGTTTTAAGTATTTGCTTTGGAACCTTTTATATTAACCTCGCTTTTGTTCGTGGCTGCTGCCTAGCTGGCAGAATCTTCGGACGGATAATTGACCCACTTACTATCAAGCTGAAACTTGGCAAATAGTCTCGTTGCCAAAGACAACAAATTCTTTCACATTTTCAACCACACTCCCACCCCCAAGCCTCATAAATACGTTTATCCTGTTTTTCAAGGGAAAGCTGAAGGAACTATGACGCCACTGGTTTAATGAAATGTAATTCCTGATAACTGTGCAAAATGAGATTCTTCAACAAACAAACAAACAAAAATCGTTAAGTGCGTTTGGTGCGTCATATTTTCTTTTGTTTTTCTGAAATAGTTGATGAACTAAGTCTGCTGTGTGATGAACTAAGTCTGCTGTGTGATGAACTAAGTCTGCTGTGTGATGAACTAAGTCTGCTGTGTGATGAACTAAGTCTGCTGTGTGATGAACTAAGTCTGCTGTGTGATGAACTAAGTCTGCTGTGTGATGAACTAAGTCTGCTGTGTGATGAACTAAGTCTGCTGTGTGATGAACTAAGTCTGCTGTGTGATGAACTAAGTCTGCTGTGTGATGAACTAAGTCTGCTGTGTGATGAACTAAGTCTGCTGTGTGATGAACTAAGTCTGCTGTGTGATGAACTAAGTCTGCTGTGTGATGAACTAAGTCTGCTGTGTGATGAACTAAGTCAGCTGTGTGATGAACTAAGTCTGCTGTGTGATGAACTAAGTCTGCTGTGTGATGAACTAAGTCTGCTGTGTGATGAACTAAGTCTGCTGTGTGATGAACTAAGTCTGCTGTGTGATGAACTAAGTCCGCTGTGTGATGAACTAAGTCTGCTGTGTGATGAACTAAGTCTGCTGTGTGATGAACTAAGTCTGCTGTGTAAAGGCGAGTGGGTCAGTAGTATATTTATAGGGTTCAGGGGCGTGAAAAAATATGCGGTTGCGAGTCTTTTGGGAGGGGGGGGGTGGAGGGGCACTGATTGAGATTCTTATAAAGTCTGTTACTTGCATACATGTTTTTTTTCTTCAAATTTTCGACCCACCCCCATTGCTGGGGGTTACATTTTACAAAGAATTTAAACGAATTGTTTTAGGCGTTGTTTATTACGGTACTGAAATACAGGTCATCTATTTCAGCCAACCGATTGGATGGTATAATGTAATCGTGATGGGTGATGCTTATTCGGGGCACTATAAAGAAATATAAAAAAATAATAGTATTATTAAAAACAGTGTAGTAACACTAACGATAAACACAATTTCAAAAGAAAGCACAAAAAAAAAAACAAAAAAAAACATCAACAACAAACATACAAACAAACAAAGAACAAACGAAACAACAAAACTAATTTTATCAACCGCTAAAATGTGTTATTCTTGTTTGTTGGCCAACCCCCATTTTTTCCCAGCTAAGACAAATTCTGGAAAAAATACCCAATAGCCATAATGGCGGGTGTGTGAAATGAGTGAAACGTCTTACAATCAAATGTGGAGGAAATAAAATAATTATTACATGTTTTCATTTTGTGTGTCTCTTAAACGTCTCTCCTTGAAATGTTACACACCAAACCAATCAATGAAACTCACCAATGATACTCACCAATGATACTCACGACGGAAAAGTGCGTACAATGATATCCTTCTGTTTCAAGGCTTAAACTGTTCAACTTTGGTGGTCCGGAACCCACTGCTCCGGAGCCGTATGTGGTTCCTTGGAGGAGAAGGCGCGGCTCTTGACAGTTTTACTTATTTCTAATGGACAAGCGGCTCGCAGTTGAAGTTTTGTCAAGAAAAAAAACAACAACACCGTCTATTCAAACAATAAAAAGTTTGCCTATGGGTTTTCAAGTTCTTGAAACTAGGGAGCAAATTGATGAATAATCCATGACCAAGATAGCCACAAGGACACAAAGACGGACGGACGAACGGACACACACACAAACACAGACACAGGCAGACAGACAGACAGACCAACAGACACATAGACAGACACATAGACAGATACACAGACAGACACACAGGCAGACACACAGACAGATACGCACGCACACACACAAACACACACACACACACACAGAAACACAGACAGACACACACACACGCACACACACGCACACACACATGTCACGTCCCTTCACATTCTAGTATTCATTAAGATGTAACCTTACAAATCAAGTTTAAGTTTAATCGTCTCATTTCTCACAGACGAACCGCATCACGGCGCTGCAGTTGCCGTCATTGAATCCAGTCGCACCTGGCTGGTGATGGACGCAGTCCTCGCTGTCTAGATTATTGTCCGGTTGCCCGGATGCAAAAGTCAAATTTTTTAAACGGGGAACAATTTCAAAGCCAGTGTTTGCCCAGACGAACTTCCCTTCCGCATTTCTGTCGTCCAGACCAATCCATGTATAATAGCTTGCATCAATAATGGTGTAAAAAAGCCGGACTTTCTCCAGGGTGTCTGGGACGAAGAGATGTGAGTTTGTTCTGTTGCAGGCCGTGGTGGCGTCGGCGTATGTTAAAAAGTCGTCGTCATACATATAGGCCACTTTGGTGCTTCCGTTCTCATAGCCTCTAAAAGGGACGGAGAAAAAAATAATTTAATGGACACGACACCAACGTTAGCTCCAAAAGGTTCAAGTAAAACATTACATATACTGATGTGGGTTGTTTCGGTGCATTAGGAAATTTAAGTGGGACTAGTGGGAGAAGTGATTCCTGCGAAGGATGTAGTTTCAGAGTAATTTAAAAAAAAAAAGTTATTCTTTTTAGTGATGAAGTAAATTTAGTCATACGAACATGAATAAATTTTTTTAAAAATGTATGTTTAGCTAAATCATTTAAAAAAAAATTCATCAGCAGAAATAATATTGGTATGAAACAAATAAAATAAATAAATAAACTACGTAAAAACTAGAAGATATGACCCGGTATTACTCGGGTAGTAATGAAAAGCATATCGCGCTACTTTCTACATGCTATTGCGAATTCTTCATATTTAACAATCACATTGTTACGTATAGAACTGCATCGGATTTTGATGTTTTGTATCCTCAATCAAAAAAAAAAAAAAAAAAACAACAACCAACCAACCAACAAAGTACGACAAGATTCCACGCCTTTGAAATGTCTATTTAGGAAATAGTAAATTAGACTTATTTATTTACTTATTTATTTTTATGTTTTGTATCCTCAATCAAAAAAAAAAAAAAAAAACAACAACCAACCAACCAACAAAGTACGACAAGATTCCACGCCTTTGAAATGTCTATTTAGGAAATAGTAAATTAGACTTATTTATTTACTTATTTATATAGAAGATTTTTTTTTCACATTGTGACGTTAGGAAAGCATTCAGTTCGGATACATGTTTCCCCATTAAATAGTGCAACCTTACGGGATCCGATTTCACGCCCCTGAACTACAAAGTAAAAAATTAATTTTATAAAAATGGTTTAAGCAATTCCTTAGCTTAAAAAATCTATATACCATTTTAAACAACTGTAAAATTTAAGAAGTTGGATTTATTGATATCTTCATTAAAAAAATCGACCCCCATCTTTTTCATGAACTGTCATTTTCGAAAAATGGAGAAATAAATATTTTTTCATATTAAAAAAAAATAAAAAATCAAGCCATCGTAGTTGATGCAGCTGAACTGAAATGTTGTGTGAACAAGGAAAAAAAAATATATGGTTACATTTTTTAAAGATTAATTGTTAAAATATGTAAAATGATTGGATTCTAAGATAGTTTAACCCATAATTATATAAAAAAAATTCCATTCTCTTTCTTTCAGTGTATTTTCACGAAATGTTTACAATATATGTTTTTAATGTAAACATATTGGTATCCTGATAAATGTGTCCCCACCGTATCCTCATCCCTAAAATGTATATTTGGAAAAGTGGAAACATCTCGATTTCGTTAGTTTAAAAAAAAAAAAACGAATGGACTTTTTATTTTAAATTCTCCAATTTCATTGAGTTTTGAGTAATGGTATAGTTATGCAAATTTTCCCACATAGTGTTTCAACACCCTTGTACTGTAATTTCCAACATTGGTATATCTCATATTTATTTATTTTAAAAGAAAATCTTAAAACTCTTTTTATTACAGTAATATTATCGGACTTTAAAACATATACTCGTCCAAATAAAAATGTAAGCACGTCTTTCCTGCCCCTGAAATGTGTTCATTACATGGATTTATTCGTTTTAATTTTAGATACGAATTTCCATTTAAATATCTAAAATACGCCCTCGCAAGCTGTGGCGCATTTGGTGATACCAGGGGCAAATTTCAGAATTGGCAGCCCCCATCCATAAACACACATTTTTAAAAAAATTATCTTTCAATAAACATAAATAAAAGCATCCCTGGTTTGTAGCTATTATCACGATACAGACGGAAAACCATCATTGAAAAACGGACAAATCAACGGTCATGAAATTGTGAGGTAACTGGCAAGACGCAGTCAGACTACGGTCAAGATACGGAAAGACAAGAGTCTGTGAAGTTAAAGGCGACACCCAACGTGTTAAAGACTGCGGTCAAGATACAGAAAGACAAGAGTCTGTGAAGTTAAGGGTGACACCCAACGTGTTAAAGACTACGGTCAAGATACGGAAAGACAAGAGTCTGTGAAGTTAAGGGTGACACCCAACGTGTTAAAGACTACGGTCAAGATACGGAAAGACAAGAGTCTGTGAAGTTAAAGGCGACACCCAACGTATTAAAGACTACGGTCAAGATACAGAAAGACAAGAGTCTGTGAAGTTAAGGGCGACACCCAACGTGTTAAAGACTACGGTCAAGATACAGAAAGACAAGAGTCTGTGAAGTTAAAGGCGACACCCAACGTGTTAAAGACTGCGGTCAAGATACAGAAAGACAAGAGTCTGTGAAGTTAAAGGCGACAGACACCCAACGTGATAAGCGTAATGAGCATATCTACTTCAAATGATCGGTGTGGTTGAAACCTGGTCTATCAAACGTCCGTCAAACTTAAAGTGCCACTTACACGAATTTAGGATATGGCTGACAGTTGTCACACAAATACAGATCTCCTTCCGTGACAGTTGGTCCGGGACGGCCGGGAACCAAGTCATTTGCGGGTGTACACAGTCTTGTCACGTTATTGTACATGAAACTTCGACACTCCGATGAAAACCTTAAATATAAAACGAGACAAGTACGTGGTGATTAAAGTATAAAGATATGAAACCCAATCTGGTTACACAATAAATACTTAAATTTCCCAATGCACCGAAGCAATTCACACCGCCTAACTTCAACCAATCAATAAATACTTATTATCCAAGAATAAAGTTTTAGCACAAAATTTGGTGTAAAATTCCGTCCAATTTCTGTATGTTTAGAAAGGGGTTGAATTTCTGAGGTGATGTATGACGGCTCATTCCTTAATGAGAAAGGCCATGTTATTTGTTCGTGTTTACATCTATGACCCTTAAATCTGACCCCCCCCCCTCTCAGCCCCCTCTCTCTTTTTTTTCCTTTCGAGTTTTTCCATTCTCTCTCGTTAGAGATCACAAATAGATTATTACGTTTGTGTTTCAAATTTTCAACCAAGTACCTTATCCGACAGTTGGCTGCGCAGTGTGACCTTGACCTGTCCACCCAACCTGGCGACAAGCGTTCAGGTCCGGTGTTGTTGGGTTTTATTTTCACAAATTTGTAGGACACTCCAGTGTTGCTTGCCCTAAGTCTTAGCGACGTCACCGACAGCATGTATACTGAAATATTCAACAGTTTTCTTTGAACGGTCAGTCGATACATCCGTTGGTCGAGTATGTCTTACGTTGGTCGAGTATGTCTTACGTTGGTCGAGTATGTCTTACGTTGGTCCAAACCCTAAACCATTTTCTTTCGTCAGTTTGATTTTTGGGGACTTTTGAAATGGAGACTATAGTCATGGGAGGAAATCAAACTAATTGTGATATTTCATGCATGCCATTGTGATATTTCAAACCTATCATTGTGATATTTCAAGCCTGTCATTGTGATATTTCAAACCTATCATTGTGATATTTCAAGCTTCTCATTGTGATATTTCAAACCTATCATTGTGATATTTCAAGCTTGTCATTGTGATATTTCAAGCCTGTCATTGTGATATTTCAAACCTATCATTGTGATATTTCAAGCCTGTCATTGTGATATTTCAAACCTATCATTGTGATATTTCAAGCTTGTCATTGTGATATTTCAAGCCTGTCATTGTGATATTTCAAACCTATCATTGTGATATTTCAAGCTTGTCATTGTGATATTTCAAGCCTGTCATTGTGATATTTCAAGCCTGTCATTGGGATATGTCAAGCCTGTCATTATGATATTTTATGCCTGCCATTGTGATATTTCAAGCCTGCCATTGTGATATTTCAAGCCTGTCATTGTGATATTTCATGCATGCCATTGTGATATTTCAAGCCTGTCATTGTGATATTTCAAGCCTGTTATTGTGATATTTCAAGCCTGTCATTGTGATATTTCATGCATGCCATTGTGATATTTCATGCATGCCATTCACTTAGGTATAGCTTTCTTCTTTTTATTTATATTTGGAGACTTTTCATCGTTGCGAGCAAAAGGAAATAATGAAAATTATATTGTCAGGATTAAAATTTAAACATAACATCCACACATTTCAAAAATCTGTTTATGGTAACATGCGTAAATAAGATGAAAGGGTCGATGTCTCCATAAAAGACTTTCACAAGACTTACCCAGCATCGTGTAGTACGACATGACAATTTCCTACTTACACCGTCATCTATTGAACTCCGGGGGCAACACACGATGCCAATGTGGCGTTCGTAGTGTTGAAGAGCGCTCTCTGTGCTCAAGTTGTGCAGCTTTTCGTCCACATGTCCAGAAAAAAAAGGGGGAATGGGGGGGGGGGGAGAAATTCCCTTCACCACAATTCATGGCGGTGTTTACGCTTTTAGCACCAATCAGCGTCTGCTTTCATATGGCGGGAGTTCAAGAATCCACGTCACGCTTCTAAATGTGCGACGGAGGGTACAATATTTATTCCTCAAATGTGGCGTTAGTTCACAGTACGGTTTATTCTGAAAGGCCATGTTTACGTTTCCGCGCCATTGACATAACACTCACGATTTCTCCAAGTATTTATATAAATGAATGTGTGAGAATGCCACTGAATTATTCTGTTGTTAGTTGAAATGGAAACCAAACAACCCCTGAAAACAAAGTTTTTTCGTGAAAATCCTTTATAAAATGTAATAGGGGGGGGGGGGGGGGGGGGGGGGGGGCGCTGAAAATTTGGCAAAACATGCATACAAGTGACGCATTTGATAAGAATCCTAATTAGTGCCCTCCCACCCACCCCCACCCACTCACCCCAAGGTTCGCAACACTATATTTCTCCCGCCGCTACTAAACTATATAAATATTCTAATGACCCACCCGATTCACACGGCAGATTTATTTTCACCATGACAGAAGAACAAAAGAAAATATTACGCACCAAACGCACGTGCGATATTTCTATTAAAAAAAGAATCTCATCTAGCGCAGATATCGGGAATTTTATTGCTCGAAATCAGCGCCATCATATTTCCTTCATCTTCTCTTTGAAAAACGGAAAAAAACCTGATTTTTAAGGTTATTATTTTTTAAAATTTTTAATTATTTTTTTTTGTTTGGGGGGGGGGGCGCTTAAAATTTGATAGAATATGTTTCATCGGCAACGAGGCTATGTGCCAAGTTTCAGCTCGATAGGTTGACTAGCAGTGAGTCACTTAGCCGTCCGATTATTTTGCCAGCCAGCCACCCACCAAAAAAATAAGGCGAGGTTACATAGACGATTTTAAGAAATTTAAGAGTTAGGGCAGGATACTTAAATATTAATGTTTCATAGAAAGAAAAAAAATCAGATCCATTTATAGAAAGTTCATTCTATTTATACTTTGAACTGAACAAAGCAACACATGTATCGATGCCACATTCCACACAGATTTAAAAAAAAAAATGAATCAAGCCCACGAAAACATGTCTTGTATGAAATGATATCAACCAAACCAGTGTCAAGTTAACCGGCTGGAAATAAAAAAGAATTGCTAAAATATGGACCGACTTCAAATCCTTTTTCCGTGGCAAAGCAATGATTCCGATCAGGGGCGTAGGGAGGGAATGGGCGGCACATTTTTCTTGATACTGAGGGGGCAGCATTTTAGAGACAACTGAAAAGTTTGTTTTTTTCCTTGAAGGGGACGCCAAAAATCATTGCCCACCCCGGCGACAGTAGTTTTTGCTCCATCACTGATTTAAGTCACTTGTCAACAAGGTCAAGGATGGGGTGCTGAAACTGCGTCACGAATTAACATTTGGGGTGGGGGGGAGTGCTCTGGAACATTTGTTTCACCTTGTATTAAGTAGACAATTAGTAAATATGTAAACTGTTCATAGAGATTCAACGTTTTTATCATTGCTGAGGTCCAGATTATTCTGTGAAGAAATTCTCCGTCAACGCATAAAACATCTGCTTTTGTGTTATCTTCTATATACTGCTTCCCTTGTCTTGGATCAACAAGAGGATTTTTACCATATCTTATCGCGAGCTCAAAGATTAAACGGCATCTCGAAGAACCTAGTCAATACCGATAGCGGAACGGCGTAGTCCTTAAATGGCGTAGTCTTTGAACGACGTAGTCTTTGAACAGCGTTGTCCTTGCACTTGTACGGCGTAGTCTTTGAAAGGCGTAGTCCTAGAACGGCGTAGTCATTGAAGGTGTAGACTTCGAATAGCGTTGTCCTTGAATGGCGTAGTCTTTCAATGGCGTAGTATTTCAATGGCGTTGCTCTTGAATGACATAGTCCTTGAATGACGAAGTCTTTGAATTTTATTATCTTTGCAGACATTCTTTGCGAAATGAATTTTACGAACTTTATCATATATCTACCATTTCTTCTATGTTTCACTATTAAAACGTTATCATTAAATAATCGACATAAGTAGTATTATTAATGTATACCCTGCGCCTAACCCCTTCCGAACCATCCCTTCCCATTAGTCCACAGACCGCGGTTTATTGAACGAAGCAGATTCTATAAACAACGATCAACTAAGCGAAAAAGTCACGTGTGTCAACACAAAAAATTACGCCCCACAAGATATAAATGCGAGTAGAAAGCAAGCCTTTAATATATATATATATATATATATATATATATATATATATATATATATATATATATATATATATATATATATATATATAAATATACATCAGTAAATACTTAAAATTTCTTAAAATGCATTGCGCAAAGAAAAACTGTTCAGCAATATAGATTAGGACTCTGTGCGTAGTGTATTTTAAGAAATGTTAAATTATGTCATGTATCTACTTTTTAGCGTTGACACTCCTCTTTGACAGACAGTCTTTGTTTTAAGTTTAAAAAAAAAGAAATATTTGTTTGCTAATTTTAATAATTACAATTTAAATTTTGATATCATCGATATAAGAAGTATTATTTAACTTTTTTTTTTTTTGTTACATCCCCAAAATCCCACAGCTCTGATAGGACCTTTCCCCCCCCCCCCCCCCCCCCCCCCCCCCCCCTTTTTTTTTTTTTTTTGGGGGGGGGGGTTTCTCCTGCCGTTCACTGAAGGAAGCAGACGTGGTGTTGACACAACTCAGCTTCGACCTTCCAGGTCGCCACAATACAACGGGCCAGTGGGCTAAATCACGCGTGGAAACAAAAGGATAATGCTAGGCACAAAAGACGGAAATGCGTCTAGAAAGAAAGTATAAAAAAAAAAAAAAAAAGTGGAAACAAAAGGATAATGCTAGGCACAAAAGACGGAAATGCGTCTAGAAAGAAAGTTTAAAAAAAAAAAAAAAAAGATAATTTGATTGTTGTAATGCGTCGGAGTGAGCATAAAACTAAAATATTGTGTAACGTGTGCTGCGTTCGTGTGACGAAATGAGGCTGGCCTTAAAAGTTCAATATGCTCACCACACCTTCTTAGAACACACACACACACACACCCACACACCCAACCACCACCATTTTAAAGTTTAAGATGAATTAATCCCCGTAGATTGCCGTCACCCACGTGGATCGCTCAATCAACTGACTGATATTTTGACCAGCGGATTGTGTTACGAGGTAGAAACACCCCCCACCCACCCCACCCTTCACTTTTGCCGCAGGTGAGCTGTTGTTGAAATTTAAATATTCATCTGGTTTTTGAGTTCATTGGACTCGGATATCACATGATAGGGATTTAGCCAATGACCAATTAAAATAAAAACACTATATGTACCGGGTGGATGGGACTCGTTAACCTTGGACGGCAACTCATCTAAGAGAATGAAACTCTGAATTCAAACCCGGAGATGGAATTCCGGATGCGGAAAAACATTGGTACAATGAAACATTCCGACAACTCCTGCGACGCCACTGGTGCCAAGCTGTGTCGTCCCCATGATGTTCCCTTGGGTTATCCAGCGGCGTGAAGAGTATCGATTTGCTGTTGGGAACAAGCTTATAATCCTAGAGTAATAATCCCAGGCCTTGTGGGTTTCGTCCTGCGAAGTCTTCACTATCGTCACATTGTGACGGACGGATACTAGCAAAAAAGAATTACCGTGGTAAAAGTTCAAAGCTTTCTTTTAAGATCGTCACACAAGTTAACACAATCAATTTATCAGTGCACTTTGAAGCTGGCTTTTTCTAACACATAGTGAGTTGGATGAACATTTCTTTTCCATGTATTTTATTTCAATGCATTGTATTCCCATGTGTTGAGTTTGGTTAAACGTTAATATATGATCACTCTGAAGCGAATGAATTTATTCAATTCATTTGTACTTTACAGTTTCTCAATGTTCGACACGCGCCTCCAACCTGGGACACGTGTTGGCTATTTCAAGATTTACTTATCTAGCCTTCATCCCACCTTATGGATGGTGTAGTAGCCACTGGATAGTTGTTATCCGTTATAATTGTTTGGATATATTATATTACTCAATTATTTACATTTATATATAATATATTGTATAATTATGTTTGAAAAGAATCCTTTGCCATATGCGTCGACGCCTATGGCCATACATGTTTGCGCCGACTATGGTGAAGACGAATAAGGCTATCCACAGTGGATATTAATATTGTAAAGCTTCGATCCCCTTCAATGCCTCGATCTGAATTCGATGTCATTGGAAAGGGATCTGTTAGCTCAAGAATATTGGAACAGTTACTCCCTTCTTTCCTTGTGTCATCATTCACATACAGCCTTGTTACCAGATCGTCGTATTGCCACAGTGCAGTCACCTCACCTCAGCAGTTGGACTGGGGATCAGTTCCCTAAGGCTGGAGTCCAAGATCTCCGCCAAGTAGAAGAATAACATGTCCAAAAGCATAAAGCGTTCTATGTCCAATAACATAAAGAGTGTTACACCAAAAATTATAAAGAAGCATAATATCCAATAGCATAAATAACTATATATCCAAAGGCATGAAGACCCATATATCCAATAGCATAAATAACTATATATCCAAAGGCATGAAGACCCATATATCCAATAACATAATGAATAATATATTCAATAGCCTAAAGACAAATATATCCATTAGCATACAGAATCATAAATGCAAAAGCATAAAGATCCATATATCCAATAGCATAAAGAATCATGAATCTAATAACACAAAGAATAATATATCCAATAGCATAAAAAGTCCTATATACAGTAGCTTAAAGAATGATAAATCCAATAGCATAAAGATTCATGAATCAAATAGCATACATAATCATTTATCCAATAGCTCCAAGAATCATACATCCAATAGTATTACCAGCTCATCAAGAATAT